AAGTCCACCAAGTGTGGCATGTCATAATGTCATTTCTGGGGAAAAGGAGGCATTACAGAACCATTTCCTTGGTATAATAATAACCAATCATTTCTATATATGAAATATTAAAACTGTAGCCAGCTGCTAATGTCTACTGGGGGTCTGCTCACTGTACAAGTTATGAGACAGGAGAGGGCTAAAAAGGATAGCCAAATGTCTACTAAGGGTCTACTGACTGTACAAGTTATGAGACAGGAGAGGGCTAAAAAGGATAGCCAAATGTCTACTGGGGGTCTACTGTCACTGTACAAGTTATGAGATGGCAGAAAGCTGAAAAGGATAGCCGCTGTTCTCCTGGGTGTCTGTGCTCCTACAAATAGTACAGGGAAAGGGGAACAGGAAGGGAAGGGTGGCTCCCTATCTTTTGGGTACAGGTTGTGAGAAAGGAGAAGGAAGAGAAGGGAAGCTCTCTCGGGTATCTCTTGTACCGATATTTGTTACATTGTGGGAGAAAGAAGGAAGGAAAGAACAACCTCTTCCTCACAGATGCACTCCTTAATTTAGTATATTGATCTTTATGAAATTACATTATCTTTGAAACTCAGCAAGACAATATACGTAAAAATGGTAATGAAAACGCTTCAGAAAATTGAATTAACACAGCCTTTTGAAAAATTTTTGGCAATAATCTTGCAATTTCATTACTTTTCTATTGAAAATGTCATTTGATCCAGGACAATGTTTGTATTACGAAGAATTAATTATCAAATCTGCCAAAATGCACTACTATATCCATGAAAAAACAATTGTACAGAACTCCGGTGAGGTAATTAATTGGTTTCACTAGTTCAGTGTAGCCGTTGACAGGAGGGTAACTGGGTGTGTTAGTGTGTTGCTTGTATGACTAAGATAAGGTAAGCTTTATCATGAGTCTGACAGGCAGTTCTCCCCTAACGATTTCTGATACTATAGTAAGTAGTAGTTATCTAACAAAAAAACTCACTCGACTATTCAACAAAATTAGCATCAAATTACTTCACTTCTCCTTGGTTTTGTAAAATTTGACTTTTGTTAAAATCTGTATGTTCCAGTCTTTTATTTATTCATATCCTACAGGTCACAGATACTATATATAAGGGGTGTCGGTGTTTGAGGAACAGTAATTAAAGTACTAAAAGGTTTTGTATACTATTTAACATTTGTGCACCATTTAAAAGACGAAAATGTTCTGCACTGTGATGCAACATATGTTATTTCTAAAATATTACATTGCTTTTGGGGGGAGTTTTAGTCACTCGTTATCACTCCAGTAAACCCAGAGAAGTTTTACGCCTGTACAGACACTGTGTGATCAGCATGCCTCCACTACCTACTACAAGCACTGCGGTCCTGAGGGAAATAACATAGCAACATTAGGACAACCCATCTAAATATTTAACCACCCACTTTCAGAGAAAAAAAAGACTTGCAGACAGCTGTTCTAAAGTGGCAATTTCACATTTCACAATTTTCGTATCGTCTCTAGCTACCAATGTTGGTATTTTAGGTAATATTCTAGTCATCTACTTCCTCAAGTAAACAACAGGATAGGTAAACCATCCTTGGTTTTGTTCCAATCACAAGACAGTCTCGCTTCTGACCCCTACAGTAGCCACAGAGATTATTTTGTCATTAGGATCTGATAGACATTGCAGTAGGTGGAGGGTTGTCAGATGTCAATACATGTTTTTGGAAACTACACAAACACACAGATATTTCACATATACCCAACATTGTCACGAAGTATTTCAAAACATTTATGAAGAAATTACATTAATATGTTCCAATGACAGAAATCAATGTTGAATTAATTTGACGGCGAAGCCCTACCCTGGTGCCATTTTGATGACCGTGTTCAGCTGTATGTAATCATTGACAGTGTATTGTCAGTACAACAGAAAAGTATACGGACTATACAGCCTAGAACTATATAGACAATATGCAACCTTAATCTATATTGACAGAAGGCTTCAATGGCCTGTTTACAACCTTGACCTTCATTTTGCTGCCTTGACCTAATTTGACCATGCATACTTGACACTGTCGCATATTGACAGCACAACACATTGACTCACATTGTGTGACCTGGATATTGATAAACAATATACAGCCTTGACCTACATCAACAATATACAACCTTAACCTACATCAACAATATACAGCCTTGACCTACATCAACAATATACAACCTTGACTTAGATCAACAATTTACAGCCTTGACCTACATCAACAATATACAACCTTGACCTAGATCAACAATAGACAGCCTTGACCTAAATCAACAATATACAGCCTACAACTGGGCTGTAGTAACATCCTTGAAAATCTTCCGAGGTAAACAGACATTTCCGATAGAGGCCAGAACATAACATATAGGCAACAACACTTTCTCTGTATCGATCACTTCCATAATGAATAATTTCTAACATAGCACTGCAAATCGGATTTATGTATACATATATAACATTCGATACAACTCAAAATTCTGAACGAATTCAAACCAAGCCTAAAATTCAAGTTAACATCTGACATGCCGCAGAATAGATAGGAAATGTTCCTTCGAGTGAGAGCAATTCAATGCACAACCTTGTCTGCATTGTAACCTACTTCATCCATCATTCTGTCACAGTTTCAGGGCCTTCGTCAATGGAAGTGAATTTGTCACTGTAAGTAATTGAGTGCCAGCCAACAGAGAGAAACCTTGTATAGAAGGTATACATGTACCGAAGAGCCAATCGTACATGCATCACATGTAAACTACCAACAGTTGATGGGCAATACGTAATCCAATAGGCTTGATTTGTATTCAGGTTCAAATGGTTTTAACTCCCTTAAAATGTTTATGGAATGCATTACTAAACACCTTGTATCTGTAACACTTGTAATGACTGCCCCAATCATTGTTCTGGTAAACAGTGGAACTTAAACCCAAAAATAACAGGAGAAATTATAGATTTTTCATGTTTACGCCGATTTTTATTTCTAATAAAAGTATATTGGCATAGACAGCTGCCACTATTCGTAAAAGTTTTTTGTTTTTTCAAATTGATTTGTATTGTCATTGAGTGCTACAATGAATTTGTACGAAAATAAATTGATGTTACCTCTGTAATAGTGTGTATAAATTCATTCTAAAGTATTTCCATCTTGTAGTTGATTTTTTACTGCTAAAATGCACTGCAGATTTTTGAAAACTTCTGTCGTTTTATCTTGAAGAACACCTCAGGTAGATCTTAAACAGCAACTGCACTGATGACCTATAATTACTTATAATCACCCGGAGGTCATCACAAAGTCAAACCAAACGACCTTGGAATCCAAAATAGCACACATTCATCCACTATCTAGTGCGAGATCTCACCAAACCTGTGCATAAGTTAACATTTTTTATGACATGCCTTTAGCAGGAATGTTTTTCTTTACATGTATGTGAAGAAACACAGTTTGAGAGGTTTGTGCTGTGTAGATGTTTGCGAGCTGTTGGCACTAGGCGGGCAGGAAGACATCTGGATAGATAGGTCTCTCAGATACCAGCGGGGAGCCGCTGAATGCCGATGGTGAGAGAATCCCGATGTTTGTAAATACTGTTAGTATATCCTTCCGTCACCTATTGGTCTCCGGAGACTGGCATGTAATTTGTAAATTGCATCACATGTTGGGGTTTGTAGTTGAAGCATTAGGTGAGTGAACAAGCAGACAAGAAGGGAATTGAAGTCTTAGAGCAGCCGTCTACCTGTAACGGTGATGGAAGTCACCTTCACGGCTCTGACAGGTTGCAACCATCACATTACTGACGTATAGATATGTAAAAATCTGAATCTCGTAAGGTTATCGCATCTAAACACAAAACATAACCTTCCATCCAATGTAGATTATGTCTAAAAGAAACCAGACCTGTCATGTTTCTGCACATTATTTCCTACATTTTAACTTTCACGACAGACTGGATCTTCATCCGAGTATGTAAAACCAGTTGATAGTAGAAAAAACGTGAAAGCATTATTTCCCGATTTGATGCATGCTTGGGGTATAACATGTTTTCATATAATGACAGATGCAATCTTGACATATAAGATACTGGCATGTCAGATGTAACATTCTGAAAGCATACTGTCTGCAGGTTTCTAAAATACAAAGCTATTTGGTTTACTTCTATCCCTGTTTTGTTGGACCTACAAGCAGATGGTCTGTACTGTAGCCAAGCTGTATTGATTAATATTACATCATTGTGATGGATACTAAAGGATTATAAAACCCTCTATGTTTATCATCCAGATATTTTCATAATTTTTCAAAAGGAATTATAAACTTGCATGACCAGGGACTCAAGATGATCATAGTCCGATAACATATATTCTTTTTTTCTCAATACGACAAAATAAAAATATTCAGTTAATTGTTTTTTTTATATAAATATTGAAGCTTTATATAACATAATGTTCAACATCTGTCTTTACAGTTACATCATCACAAGTTTTAATTAACATTTTGGTTTCTTCAGCATAGTTTATTTACTACACCTGTTTCAATGAAATCCACCTGTCAGCCACCAGTGAATGTCATTACATAGTTGTTTACATGTAGCTGTGAACTACATTCTAGTAGAAACATATCCGCTTTTACATTTGCTCACATGGCAAAATAAGGGTGAAGCTAGTGCATTACCAGGAATGGTAAAATGGGGAGATACTAAGATATATTTGTAAAATCTTTTTTTTAAGGGAAATAAAAGAGAATAAAGGGAGATAATTATTAATAAAAAGAAGTAAAAAATAATAGTATGGAGAAAACTGAACATGACTAATATGAATAGCAAAAGGGTACAGGAAATATAAAGGTATACTTATTGACTTATGTTTAAATATACACAGCAGTATTGATACATTTTGGGTGGGGGGTGAGGGGATTTGACTGCATGGAATAAGAAAAAGGGGGAGATAACTGTGAATAAAGGGAGATAAGTATGATAAAACACTCACCTCCAGCGTATGAGTATCCTGCACCTCTCTGTCCAGGTTCTGGTCAGTGGTCACTATCACACCTGTAGAATACACAAATATGAAAATACTTATCAAATCATCAAGTTCACAAAAAAACAATAAATAACCACAGGAAACAGTAACTTTGTAAGATACAGTTTCTGGCAATCAGCAGATGACTAACAACAATAGGCAGTATATTTCGCCTTCAGATATTTTAACTACTACTGTACTTACTCCATCTGCTGAATCTAATGATTTTCAGGAAGAAAACAGGATTTTATGAAACAAAAGATATAACTGGATTTTATGAAACAAAAAATATCACTGACAAAACTACAATGGACAGTATGACCTTTCAAATATTTTCAACTATTTTCTACTGAATTTGAGTGTGTGTATTGAGAAAAAGAGAAATTACAGATGACAGTTATTTATTCCAGCATTTAATTTTCGATTCCCAAGGCTGCAATATTTTTTATTTCCAAATTCATTCAGCATCTAATTCAATATATGCCTGCTGAACCATCGAGGGAGCCTCCACAGCCACAATGTACCATCTAAAGCTCATTTACATACATAGTCTTCAGCCGACACGACAGTATTGTACGAGTAGGTTTTCCTGGTATACTTTGAGTGTCTGACATTATAGAGGAAACCCCTGAATTTTTCATTTGATCAGATAAATATGTAAATCATCCTGGTACTTTTCTGTGCCTAGCAGGAAATGCCTAATAAATTAATCATAAAATGTATAACCCTTATGACCTGAATTCTGCATTTTCAGCAAAATCCTACATCAGTGTTTTCAGTACCTAATGATAGGTAAACAGTTATTTTATAGCTCTGGTCCCCATTTTCAGCATTATAGTAAATTGGTAAACCGTTATCACTCAAATAGCCCTGAGCATGCTAATGAACTGTAAGACTAATCTAAGATGTTATAGCTTCGAATGTCAAAAAAAAAATCAACATATGCATTTTTTTTCCAGCATTCTAATTAATTTAAACTTCTATCTAAACATCAATCTACATTATAGCTTCAAATGTTGAAATATATTTTGACAAATATCACTTTAGTTTTAAAATGGAATGCCATCACCCAGTAACATTAGCGTTGAGACCATTGACCAGTTTATAATGTCTTACACTTAATAGCAGGGGGGGGGGGGGGGGGGGGGGCTTTGACTGATGGCTGCCTAGCTACTGAGCAAGATTACAGAATCCAAAATATTTCTGGCCTGTCTAATGGAGATCTTAACATTTCTAATTTACTGACAGTGCCTTTAATTACGGCTGATCTATGTATCTCAGTACTAAGTTTTCAACTCCCTGTATGACATAAACGGAGGGTGACTGCCATTTCAGCACTAAAATTCTGACTCATACACATCACATTAGTGGCGGGGAATAGATCAGCCTCAAACTATGAGCACAATATGAATAATGGAAAAAATAATGTTTGAAAGTTCTGGGGAAAAAAAAAAAAAAAAGAGTTATTGATATAAACATATCTGGATAACCTAGGACCTTTACTTTCATTAGTATTCTTATTGTTTCTTTCATTTTAAAATCGTAGACAACATCCTATTATCATCTTGTAAAATATATAGGGATCCCCCTTGAATAATTAAGAAACATGGAAATTAAACCACTGCACAACGTAACTGCCTTTGTTTTGTATTTTCCACTTGGTATTTCAATGTATTTTAAGTATATATATTTTCCCCCCCACAAATGCCACATTATTTCTAACGAAGAATCTTGTAATTCTATCATTCACATACAAACATAATTTAGGAAGAATTATAATCTAGACCATTAGATATTGTAGATATGTGTTTGACACCAACCTCCTGATACAGTATTACATACCTCAATCACGGGAGGCCACAATTTAAATCTTATCTTCTATAATAACATCTATGTACATGCATTGGTAAAATTTTAATCTGCATATACATGTATCTAATTTCAAGATATAATGTGCCCCAAAAAACTCCAGTTTAAAATAGCACTTTGTGAGTTTGTCATCACCAGATAATATTCGTAAGATATCAAAATATTCGTGAAAAACATTGATGTACTTTACTGTAGCATGTTTCTGCAAATTTAGATGAGTTATTGTGTTTCCCCTGATAAGACAGTACACAGCTGTATGGCCGACAGACGTACAGGGGGTAAAAAGTCTCCTGGAGGGGTCTCCAACAAAGCTAGGTCATATTTGAAATAATAGGTTGAATTCAAGGTTTATATAATATGTAAACCTCCATTGTTCATTGTTATTTCTGGCGTTTTTCATCTCCAGAAATCCAAAATACCCAATTTGTTTGATATACAACCTCTGTTAAAGTCGCTGTATTTGTATATCAACGAGTGTGCAGGAGGGCGACATGAGTAAACACTGCCCCGATAAAAGTCTTATATATAAGTTAATGTAGTATCATGGTAAACACACTTACGCAGTAAAATACCAACTGCCACAGAGAAATCAATCACCAAACATGGCCACTTTAAAAGACTAATCAGTAATCTCTTTACCCTACAAAAATGTTTTAAACAACCATTAGCATCGTAATTATTCAGACTAAAAGACTTAAGACCATGATTATAATCGTAACATTTATTGACTAACACGGCAATATAATGGAAACCCCACAAGAAATAAGATCATTATAATACAAATAGTTTTTACCGACAAAGATGACAATATTATGAAAACCTTACAAGAAGTAAGATCGTAATGATTAAAACCTTATAAAAACCAATCAATTTCTCATAGAAATCCTTAAGGTACCAACACTTCTCTTCATTAAAGCCAACAAAGTCTTTCAGACATATTTTTTAGAGATTGCTTTTTTCTCCTTGATTTCAATTTGTCAATCAAGTAAATGATAGGAGTAATATATACATCGTTGAAGAGGTAAGCAATTCATTAGGCCTATACAGTCTTTACCACTTCTTTCAAGTACATTGTCAATCACAGAGGGGGCAAAAAATATATCAAAGTATTTAGAAATTGCGACAACACAGCATACAAGACCGAAGTCCAAGAAAAAAACCATAAAATTGTCCAGTGTTCATTTTCTATCTTTAAATGCTTTTTGATGCATCCAATGTTTTTATATTTGAACTTTTTAAGCCTCGGGCCGCTTTACGTATTCTAATATATCCCTTGATATTATCAAAACCACAGACTATTAAAATGACAGCAGAGTTCACAAGTTTTTTCATGGCCCTAACACTCGTGACTGGATGACATATGCCGATAATGCAAATCGCAATTAAGACGGAATTAATTTTTTTGGCCTCCTTTTCCACTTAAATGAGACCCAGAGTGCAGACTAATGTTAAAGCGGGTTTTATTTACCACAGGATTGACACCCACTTAATATACCTATGATTATGAATTAAATAAAAAAAAAACTTTATCAGAGGCAGGACACATAAAATTTCGAACCAAAGCGTTTTTTAATGTGTTTTATCGTATTGCACATTAATTCCATGTTTGTGGTGATACATAACACCATACAACAAACGTTGATAACAAAATCATCTAGATTTCGGCCATTATTATAAGCAAGAAAGAAAAAAATCTCATAACATGACATAATGAACATTAATAAAAGACTATTCATTTTCAGTTAAAATGGGAACACGACAAAACCTGTTCTGTCAACTTAGTGATGATGTACCTTCAACAGAAGAAGGAACCACTAAACTGTTAGTGTTAATCGTTGTAATACATTTTTATATTGTAAGGAGAATTTCTTTATTTTGTAACCTGCGTTACGTAACAGTGGCACCAGCTGGTGTTATGACCCGGCTGTATAAACCTATAAAGTCTGTGAAAATCCTAAACCAGGCCTAGACTGGGGTGTTTACCGCTGTCAGGTGACAAACCTCCCAGAAACGGGATTATGGCTTATCTACCTAATACCGACATAAAAAGAACTTTCCTACTATGTGTGTACACAGGGAATGTTGTCGCACCTCTGACTTATTTTCTTTAAGTAGTATTTGTCATCGATTTGAATAGTAAATGATTCATGCAGAGTTTTCAGGACAAAATTCAAGACCTTCTAAAGCACTATCAAAGCACTTTCTTCCAATTTTCCAACTTTTCAGAAAATGGGGATTGAGCTTTTCTTTTCTGTTTTAGTGTACAGCTACTGTTATAAAATGAATCGGAACGGATTGAAAATGATTTATTAACTTATATCAACACAAAAACTTTGAAAATATCCTTCATAGACAAAAACACATGTTAAATGTGTTAGGGTATACAAATATTCTTAATAAGAGGCCCATGGGCCTTAACGGTCACCTGATATATTTATACAGAGAGTTGATTTTGTTTTTAACATGAACAGAAATATTATTCAAAGTGACAAAAAACAATAAAACCACCTTACTCAATATCTAGCATACAGATTTCAGATTAAAAAGGATTTGAAACTAGCACCTCTGATTCTTAACAAGGAAAATGAAGAAATTTTAGCACACTGACTCCTTTGAGCCCCACCCTACAGCCCTTGGGGGTAGGGCTGGCTCAAAATTTTCAAAGTATCAAACTGTCAATTCAAGGTTATAATTCCAATCAAGTTATTAACATGTAATATT